TGTGTCACCCAGGATAGAGTGCAGTGGCGCAATTTCTGCTCACGGCAACCTCCACCTCCTGGGTTCAAGTGATTCTCATGCCTCAACCTCCCTGGACCACAGGTTCGCACACCACAACACCCAGCTGATTTTTGAATTTTTTGGTAGAGATGGGGTTTCACCATGTTGGCCAGACTGGTCTTGAACTCGTGGCCTCAAGTGATCTGCCCACCTCGGCCTCCCAAAATGCTGGGATTGCAGACATGAGCCACCGTGCCTGGCCTCCTCCTTTTATTTCTATGTTCCCTATGCTCAAGCTTCTTTTTCTGAATTCTCTAACACATCCTGCCTTCTTGCTAAGCGTGATTATTCCCCCAAGAATATAATCATAACTTCTCTTTCTATTCTTCCTCCCTTGTCAATCCCATCTAAGCCCGTAGCTTCAACTCTCACCCTTGGGAAACGACCTCTGAAGTCAGTTATCTTTGACCATAACTTTATTTCCAGATCCAGAACTCAGGACCATCCACCTGCAGGACTCTCCACAGAGAAATTTTGGCTGGATTGCAACAGACAAGCCCAAACACTTCATGCACCCTCTAAAATCCCTCTCCCTATTCCTGCTACCCACCTACAAGTACTTCCTCCCTTCTCTGAATAGACATAGGCCTTTGCCTCAACCTCTCATCACATTCAACCCTTTCTAGAGTGCAGTCTCGTTATCTGCCAACTGATATCATCTCCCAGGCCACACCATAAGCTCCCCTACTGCAGAACCAAGTCTTTTCTGGCTCTCCGTTTTTGAGTGTTTTGCACATAGTAGGCACTAAAAGAATAAATGAAAACATCCTTAACCACCACAACAAGAATGAACAAAGTACATGAATGTTTCAGTAGACATTTCACTTTGATTCAAAGTTCTTTTATCCGCATTCACACTGAACAACTGCGCACTGGGTACTTAGACCCACACTGCAAATATTGCTGCTGCTGCTGCTGCTATTCACACAAATACTCCTACTATTAATAATAACAATAGATATTCAGTACTTACTGTGTGTCAAGGCACTGTGATAAGCATTTATGGGGATTATTGCATTTAATCTTAATCACCACCCTATGAGATAAATAATATTATCCCCCATTTCACAAATAGGACAACTGAAGACAGAGGAACACCCAGTAACTTCCTTGCCTTCAAAAAGCAATCAGTCTGGCAAAGGAAGACAGATTGTGGGCAAAAAGTTACAAGTGTGCTGAGTGCTATGAAAGAAAAGCAAAGCAGATAGTAGTCCCCCTTATCTATGGTTTTGCTTTCCACGGTTTCAGTTACCTGTGGTCCCGTACAACATTTGTTTTTGTTTGTGTCGAGATGGGTCTTGTTCTGTCACCCAAGCTGGAGTGCAGTGGTGCAATCATGGCTCACTGCAGCCTGGATTATCCTCCCACCTCAGCCCCCTGAGTAGGTGGGAATACAGGCACACACCACAACTGGCTAATTTTTCTTTTAGTTTTTATAGAGATGGGGGGTCTCATTATGTTGCCCAGGCCAGTCTTGAACTCCTGGGCTCAAATAATCCTCCCATCTTGACCTGCCAAAGGGCTGGGATTCTGTACGATATTTGGAGAGAGAGACGACATCCACATAGCTTTTCATACAGTTTGTTGTTATAATTGTTCTATTTTATTACTAATTGTTGTTCATCTCATATTATGTCTAATTTATAAATTAAACATGATCATAGGCATGCATGTATAGGAAAAATATAGCGTATGTAAGGTTCGGTACTATCTGCAGTTTCAGGCATCCACTGTGGGTCACGCAACACATCCTTCATGGATAAAAGGGGACCACTGTTTACAGGACAACATAACAATGGGACTTGACTCAGGCTGAGAGCCAGGGATGCTTCCCTGAAGAAGCCACGCTTAAGTGGGAATCTGAAGGATAGAATCAGAATAAGTCAGTAAAAGAGAAAGGAAGGAAAGGAAACTCAAGGGAGCCCTGAGAACTCATGGTCCTGTAAGAAACCATACAATGATGAGGGAAAGAGGTCTTCCTCAAACAGAGCTCTGGGAACTAGGTTCACTGACCAAGCATAGTTCCTATTTTCCATCCACATTTAAACACAGGATGTCAGGATGCCCTTTAATCAAATCCCTTTTAGAATCGTGCTTTAGAAAATCACGTGTTGGGCCGTGTTATTTTAAGAGCGTAGCCACCAGGTATGGCAAAATGTAATGATGATTGATATGCTAGATTTCAGTTTACCAAAAAGGCAGAGACTGTCTCAGAATTTCACAGAAAGAGCTCCATGTCAAGTCAAAGAGGTTTTGTCTCTGAGTGGTAATAACAATTATAATATAATCCAATGGTGGCAAGTCCCTTAGCCAGCCCAGGCAGTGGGGTCACCTTTTAGACAGAACACAATGGATTTTTAAAATTTGCAACCACCTGAGACACAATTCTCTGGTGTTTCTCATTTTTTTCTTTTTTTTTTCCCCCTTCCCTGCAACAAAACAGAATCATACCAAGCCTTGTCTTGTCAATCTAAATTCTCTGTATCTCCTTCACCATAGCCAACATACTATAAATATACAGCTTTCACGACATCAACGCAAAGTTTTATTGTGCCGTTAGCTTTGATAGAAAGCACTGCGGAAAGTTGTTTAGAAATTAAATATCTAAAACAAGCTATTTTAAAATCCAGGGCCCTCACTATTTCATGTCTGCAATGAAGAAATTTCATCTTGGGGAGAGCAAGCTGTCTTTCACACCATATGGCTAATGGTGGTGCATAGCAATTAGCCAGCCTGATTAATGGGGAACAGACTCTAATTTTATGCTTATAATTGAGCCTGCATTTGCACCCCTGGTGCAAATTCAGCACATCCCAACTTCCACTTACAACAGGCAAGAAATCAAGAGAAATAGGATAGTGTGGAAAGTGAGAATTTTTTTCCTAAAGCCCCCTAAAGAGCATCAGATTTGCAATTTAAAAGACTGTTAGCCACACAATAGATGACAGGTTTGTGTAATAGGGTCATGGCGGCCTGGTAAACAAACAGTACCCCTTATACATCTATAGGCAGCCAGGAAAACCCGTAATCTGTAACATTAGCAGGATGACATTTTGAATACGGCTTTTCCCTCTTAGCCACGCAGTACAAACATCGTCATTTGCCTTCAGTGGCTTGAGGATTTTATTTTTGCTATTTTTATGTTTCTGAAAAATAGAAAGAACATCAGCAGTAAAGCACACCAACCAGCATAATAAAGTACTTTGGACCAATGAATTTTAAAAACAAGAAAAATATAAACTGCATTAATAGAGGGTAGGCCTATGTGTGAAAGGCATAATATATCTTTAAGTGTTTCAAGAATAGAATGATTTCTAGCATAGTCTAAACATGTGCAGATATGAGATGCAAATCTATGATATATAGATGTTATTTGGCCCATTGGTTAAGATCCATCTTCCTGTCTGTTTCCTATTTTGCTAGAATCACATGTAGTACCACATGGAAAATTCATTCTAATGACATGCTAATTGTAAGAAGCCAAAACAGAGATATGGTCAAAAAGATAGTAAGAAGAAAGAGGTCATGTTTTAATGTTTTCCAAAATGAATTTTACTCATAATTCTGAAAGGTGCAACTCAGCTTTATTGTAGAATTGCTATGTACAATATAACATTAATTTTTGCCTAGTAATATAAAGAAATCTATTGCCGTATCTTGGGGGTTCTGCTACTGTTTTAAAATTAGAGACAAATAACCTGTTTTCATAATAATTAACAAGTTTTACAAATCGCTGAAATGAAAACGTGAAACTCCTATATATTTTAGAATAAAATGTTAGAAATATTTTTAAAAGGGAAAAAATGAAAATTGTATAGCCATACACAATTGTAGACGTAGAAGAAGTTGGTATTTGGGGTTTCACTCAGACAGCACATGAAACCCTTTTTTCTTTCCACCTGTAGAGTATTAAGGTTGCTTTCCCCCACAAGTCCATGAACAGCAAATAAAGCCCACCCATGCTGAGGCAGCAGCTGAAGCCCTAAACGGATTGGTCAGTAATAGTCAGCAGCCAGGCCAGCATTGTGCCAGGAAGAGCCTGCATGGTTAACAAAGCAATTAGTAGCCTTTCTCTGATGCACGGTGGCATCTTCATGCTTTATCCAATTATTCAGAATATATTAGGAGCAAAGTGCTGGTGTCATTTTATGCAGAATAAGAACGCAAGTTAAAGGGCTGTTCCCTGGCCTGCTCCCTCACATGTGGAAAGCCTGGCTGAGGCCATGGAAGTCAATTTGGTCTCCTTGCCTGTTTTCCAATGTAGCTTCAGTCTGATTACAGGCAAAAAGAAAGACACTCATCTATGGGTCACATGAATTTTATACCTTTTAGGGAATCATCTTTGCCATCCCTCTGAAAGCTCACTACCTCTGAGAAGTATTAGCTACATTGTCAGAGTTATATATAGGGTAACTAAGAAGTCAGATGCCAGGGAAAAGAAAAAACAAAAACCCACATTCAATTTAAGAAGAAATGATGCCTAAGTGTGGACAGTCATATTTTCAAGTGGGAGAATTAGAAAGGGGAACTATAACTTTCAAGTCTTACCCAAACAGAAGACTCTGCTGACCTCAATAGAACTCTTACTCATTTTAGTAGCAACGCAGTTGAGCGCATATATTAACACTAAAAGGGTTATATTGTTTTATTTGATTTTAAGGGAGAAGGGGACAGCAGTGCTTTGTGCCCATTAACAGTGTGATATCAAAATGGAAATGTACGTCTTTCAGGATGAAATCTAATAAATAATTGAGAACTACTGTGATGCCTGACACTTTACTACCGAATCCTCACATCTAACAGTTCTTTTTAGATTGTCTATAGAAGCAAGATAAATGTGTACCTCCCCCCAACAAAAAAAGACCAAAGTTCACCAAGATTTGAAATGCAAATCCATCTTCTCTTTGCTAATTAATGAGAGAGACCAAGATATTTCTTACCTGCACATGATCTCATGTGTGAGCAAGACTCGGCACATTTCTGGGTTCTTGTCTTGGCCTTCATACACTATGGCCTAAAAGCAAAAGCACAGTTTTAGCTAAGAATGGAAACAAGTAGCAGGAAAAAAAAAAAAAGATCACAATTGAGTTCTTAACCACTTCACCACTACTGAAGGCCAAATTAGCTTTGAAAAGCCAAAGACATCACTGAGCTGATTGTTTGAAGGTATGTCATTTGGGATTAACCCGAAAGGCATGGAACAAGGTATGTTCCTCTCTGCCCTGTCAACCACCTTGCCATGATGCACATCTTTGGTTCAGAGTGTGAGATGGGCAAGATAGCCACAATTCTCCTTTTAATACAGAATACAAATAAATCTCATCCATAAGGAGGGAAAACCCAGAAGGCTTAGCAGACTAAGATACTATTTACCGAAAATATAGAAAAGCATTTGGATTTGATTTTTAAATGATATGTATTTGCCTCCTTACTTTACTACTTCCAGGCTCAACACTTAGTCTTCTAGGGGTGAGCAGTAGAAAACAAGTGTAGGTGAACTAAGGAGTCCATTCACTAACTGTGTCATGTTTGCAATGATTCATCAATCAGGAAAAATCCCTCTTCCCGTCAACAGGCTGAGAACATGTGCTCTCACAGGGTGTACACCCACCCAAACAGGAATACTCGCTGTCAGATGCTGTGTGTGGGGGTTTAAGTCACAGAGTTATCTCCCTAAACTAAGAAGAGTTACATCTGACTCTCAAAATCTGGAGTCCCAAAACACTTCACCAGCCCAGATAGTTTTTTCTATTTTTTTGTAATGCGTTTGCAAAGCAAACATTTTACTCAAGGACACCAAGAAGGTTCCCTGGGACCTCAGCTTTCATGGATCTACATGTTAATATCTGGACCAAAGCAATACACTCAGCTATTAGCAGAGCAGGGCTCTGCACTGGGCTACATTTAGCTAACTTAACACTGTATCACTGCATAATACTAATATCACACGGTTTCAAATTGTTAATAAAATTACTTTCACACATTCCTATAACCCTCAATTTCTTGATGACAAAACTACTTAAATTAGCCAGAGACTATCTTTATATAGTACATAGAGATGCTACAAGACTAACTTGTAGTTGGCTCTAATGTGCTTTGTTTTTGAACCTGGGACTTTCAGAACCTGTAAATCATGAGTATAACTTAAGACCCAGTGTGTATAGATCCTCACACTATACACCTATATACACCTCACAGTGTGTATAGAGAGTACTGTGGTTATGGTATCTGATTCCCTTACAAAATAAACATTGCAATAAAATAAAAAATGAGAAAAGGTACTTACATGAAGAGAAAATACTTCTCCACCACTGGCCCATCAAAACTTTTTACAGCTAACCTATTATACCTTGTATTTTTAAAATGGTTTTACTTTGACATACTTGTAGACTTACAAAAAACTTTCAAGAATATGTAAAGAATTCCAAGATACTCTTCATCCAGATTTTACCAGATTACCAAAATGTTTATATTTTATTACATTTGCTTTATTCTTTTCTCTGTATTTTTTTCTGTATCATTTATTAAGTAAATTGCACACATGCCCTAAATACTTCAGCCTGTATGTCCTGAAAACAAGGAATTCTCTTACATAACAGTTATATAAATCAGAAAATTAACATTGATATAATAATCGAATGTACAGACCCTACTGATATTCATCAGTTACCCAATAATGTCCTTTACAGCAAAAGAAAATCCAATGCTGCATTTGGTTGTCACGTCTCCTTTAATATGGAACATTTCTGAGTCTTTATATTTCATGACATTGATATTTTTGAAGAATACAAACCAGTTATTTTGTAGAACATCCCTCAATTTGGGTTTGCCTGCGTTTCCTCAGGCTTGGATTAAAGTTATGTACTTCAGGGCAAGGATACCACAGAGGTGATCTTGAGTTCTTCTCAGTGTATCAAATCATGTTGTTGACTAGTTCCACTATTGGCAACATAAATTCTGACCATTTGGTTAAGGTGGTGCTTGCTATCCACCAGAGATCATCAGCCAGGTTTCCCCCGGGTAAAGTTATTACTTTACCCTACGCGATTCATAACTATCTTCTGCGGAGGTAATCTAGATTGTGTTAATATCTTATTATGTGTCAAATTTTCATCCGCTAGTTTCAGCATGCATTGATGATTCTTTCCTGTATTCTTAAAAGACCTTTTCAAAATCCTAAGCATTTGCATTACTCAAGAAAATGCATTAACTAAAAGCGTTTTGAAAACCAAAAATTATATCTGCCTCTTTTATTTCCTGCAATCACTGCTGAAAACATTTTTAAAAAACACAGTAAATTACTCATTAGATCTCATACATGATGCTAAAAAAACTCTAATGAAGCATTTCTTCTAAATCCTATTAGCACTACATGGTTTGTGTGTTCTCTAAATACTTGTGATAATCTCTGTTTCAGCTTTAATATTTGTCATGTTTTGGTTCCACCACTCTTTAAAAAATAATATATTTGTCATGCTAAGCTAAAAGAAGTAACCTGGTAAATAAATTCACAGATACTGATGGGGCTTTCCCTACTATATATATATGTATACTATATATATATTTTGTATACTCTCTATATATACACATATATATACATATATACATATAAACAAAAGCTTGGTTTTTGGAGGCAGGGGGAATTATCAGTTACATCAGATCTTCTCATTTCAATTCTTTCTAGATGACACAAATGTTAGTTTTACTAAGACTGCTAGTCCATTGAAATTAGTGGGCCCATGATGATATGCAATGGATGCCAATGCTAATACACTCATGGCTTCCCCAAACAGCAGATGATACAGACTACCAGAAATCCTGTGTCACTTCTTTGGTGACTGAATATCACTTGTTTAAGGCCCTGTGCCTCCATGATACATCTCTTCACCAAATACCACACTGCCACTACGCTTCCAGCAGCACAGTCAAAACAGAATCTTTCTCCAAATCAAGCATAGAAAAATGAAACCATCAGTCTGGATTTGCTCAGAAATAGTTAGGAACTCTAGAGAGGAGTGAAAGCATGAAGTTTCTTCTTTCCCTCTCCTTGGGGCCTCTACAGAACAATATTTTTCAGCACATAAAGGCAGAGAAAGCAGGGCTGCTTCTGTGACTTCTGAAATAAAAGCAAGTGCAACTCCACCATGGAGTAGGACTAAAATCCTGTAACTAAAGTAAACTAGAAACTCAGTGTAATGAGGTTAACTCTAGAGCGGAATTCAGTCAAAGACAGATCCACCTCTAACCTCATCAAAGCAGTTTTTGTTACTGAAAAGTATTGTTAAACACACATACACACATGTACACATATCATACAGAAGGTATGGGCACAGAAATCCACATCCTGATTGGATCCAGTATAGGAATATATAATAAATTAATTTTGATGAATATCTCTGATGCAGAGTGGCAACAATAAGAATTTTCAAAATGCCATGAAGTTCTCCCTGCAGCTTGCACACCCAACTGATAGCTCTGCATCAGTTTTACCATCTACATCATAGCACACACATCAACGCTGGTCCACAGTTCGGCAAACCCAGACTTTAAGCCCCAAAGGACAGGGATCCTGCTAACACCAACTTAAGGAGAAGTTTCTGCGTTTCTTCCTAATTTAAATATGTGCCTCTGTGGTGTATGAGTAAAGCTGGTTGGGGTTGGATCAGCTGGGAGATCACAGAAGCATATAAACAGCATTGGCTGTTTTAAGTGAAACCATTTTAATAGACAGCTGGTTTAGGGCCCAGACAATGGAACACCAACAAGAAGGCTTATTTTCATCCTCCATAGTAAATCATGAGTCTGCTCACTGTGAGGAAGGTTGTCTGTTGTGAGAGGGACAAAGACAACACTGGTTTAAATAAATCAATGTGTTTATCAGAAGTGAAGATGGGATGCCTGCTAATAGATGGGTGGGAGGGGGAGAAAAATCATATAAAATGTATTATTTAAGTAAATCAGTTGATAGTGAATCAAGTTGAGGTTTGCAACCTAAGAAACAAAAATGCAATATCAAGTAGAAAACAATGTTTAAATTAATCCTGCCAATGGCAAATAAATCCCTTAAGGGGACAGGAATGCTTGCATAAGAGGAAGAGTTAAATAGTAAACAACATTAACCTCATCTCAACTTTAAAAACCTGGTGAAATTGACAAACAAGCTGTCAAAAGTGGATATATTTGGAACAGACTTATTTTTGTGATATACTAGCCTGCCTTTTCTACTGCCATACTCTAATAAGTACAAATAAAATATCTCATATTATTTTTTAATACTCTCTTCACTTCGGATTAAGGGGCTTTTAAAGGATATTCAAAATAATTAACTAAAAGAAGAAGAAAACATAGAAACTGTTAAACTTTCACATTCTTATGCAAAAACAGCTCTGGAAATTTTACTGTTATGAATAAAATATCACCAATTCCAAACGCTCAATTATAAAGTAACCTGTAACATCTTTGAAAACCAACCAATCAATCAATATACAAAACCTGCCTCAGTTGCCACTGTTTTGGAAGGCATACTGTGAAGCATAGTTCATTCTAGCTTTTCTTAAATACCTCTAGGTCTTAAAAGTTAATTGAAACTTACTATGGGTAAAGACCACACAGTAAAACGAAAAAATACACGGTGAATGTACACCGGCATCACACTTCAATAGGATGCCAAAGGAAATACAGAGAATTGAACATGGTTTTTCTGTGTTTACTTTTCTAATAGTTTTAACTCTTTCTGTTCCATGCCAAAATAAAGGCAGTGAAGAGAATACTTTTGACTTTGGTTCAGCAAAATCCAAAGGATTTTTAGAAACAAAATATTTTCATTAGGAGCCTTTCTTGATTTATAACCAAACAAAAGGAAATCTATCATCATTAGTTGAAAAAGAAGAGGGAAAAGAAAAAAAGAAAAGAAGAAAGAAGGAAAGAAAGGAAAAAGGAAGGAAGGAAAGAAAGGAAAAGAAATTAAGAAAAAGAGAGGAAGGAAGGTAGAAAGGGTTGGAGGGCGGGGAAAGA